TCCTCCTCCTCCTCCTCCTCCTCCTCCTTCTTCTTCTTCTTCTTCTTCTTCTTCTTCTTCTTCTTCTCTTTCTTCTTCTTCTTCCTCTTCTTTTTTACTAATTGAGACCCTTACCACTTGATACCTGGACCACTCCAATAACACCTAGCCATTCCCTCAGCTTTCAGATTTTGTTGCCAGCTTTAATCATGCCGCTCTGACTTAAAATAATTCCATGTTTATCACTAAGGTCCAAATTCCTTGGCTTAGGCAATCTTCTGTAGAGGTCATGGTCACAGCTTCTGGAATTAGACTACCTGTGTTCAAATTCTCTTCTCACCACTCTGTGATTTTTTTTCAAGTAACTTAACCTCTGAGCCTCAGTTTCCTTATCTGTAAGGTGGAGGATTATATAGTATAAGCTTAACATAGATTTATGTGAGAATTAAGTAGTTAATCCATGAAAGGGGTTTAGCTGAGTAAACGAAGTAAGTGCTCAATAAAAAATTACTACAATGAAAGCTCTCCACAATTTAACTCCAACCTACCTTGCTAGCCATATTTTCTCGTTTTCTCTAAGGTGGTCCTAAAGGCTTTACTAATCAGAATTACCTAAATTCATACTGTAGTTTTCCACTACTGCACCATCATTCAAACTGTCCTCTCAGCGCTGTATACCCTTCTCTCATTCCACCTGTATCAGTTGCCAACTCTTGCACTACAAATTCACCTGATCTTAATTGCTTAAAGTAGCCATTTTGTTTGTTCACGATTCTGTGGGTTGGCAGGGCAAGGTTCAGCTGAATGGTTCATCTCTGACTCACCAGGGTTGTTTGACTTCACTCGTGCAGCTGCAGGATTCAAGGTGGCCTCACCCACATGTATGGATGCTCAGCTAGGACAGCGGGAACCCTCCACCACCAATCTCCTCCAGTGTTTTCATCTTCCTGGGCCTTTTCCCCTTGTTTTATTTCAGACGGAGGGCATTCCCTCTACAGATTTTCCAGCAGTACTCAGACTTCTTTACATGATAACTCAAGACTCCAAGAGGGTGAAAACAAGAGTTGCAATACCTCGTAAGGACTAGCCTTGGATTTGGCACGATGTCACTTTGGCTACATTCACAGCAGATCACAGAACGATCTCAGGCTGAACGAGAAGTAGACTACCTCCTGATGAGAGAGGTCATAGGCACCTCGGGCTGCCATAACAAGATACCACAGACTTGGGGGCTTAGATAACAGCTATTTATTCTCTTAAAGTTCTGGGAGCTAGAAATCCTTGACCAAGGTACCATCAAGGTTGGTTTCTGGTGAGACTTCTCTGCTTGTCTTGTAGGTGGCTGCCTTCTTGCTGTGTGCTTGCATGTTCTTTGAGAGAGAGAGAGGGAGGGAGGGATAGATTTTGTGTATCTTTCTCTTATAAAAACACCAGTTCTATTGGATTAGAGCCCCACACTTATGTCCTCATTTAACCTCTATTACCTCCTTAAAAGCCCTATCTCCAAAATAGTCCCACTGGGGGTTGAGGCTTCAGTGTAGGAATTTTGGAGGGACACGACTTAGTCCATAACAAGGGGAGTGGAAAAATCGCATGGCAAAGGCGCACGCAGGATGGGAGGGATGGCTGTGCCCACTCTTGGACATCATCCACCACCCTTCTCTGCCACTGAAATAATTTCCATCCTTCACAATTTCCCCCCTCAGCCTGGCCAGCCTTGATCGGTCCTCACTCAGCACTCCTGCAGCTCTAAGTGTGGGTTGCTTAGTTCACATGACCACATCCTGCCCTGGATGTCAGCATTTGGTGTAGGCTCTAACCTCAAGGCAATGGCCATCGTTTTTTTATATCTTTAAGTTCTCACACAGTGCCTGGCACAGGAAAAGCCATAATAGATGTTTGTGGAATGAATCAACAATACAATTAATTTTAGTGTTCCAGAAACTGACAGCCACTCACAGACCGAGCGAGGTTTGGCACTTGAGCAGTTTGCATGTTCTCAAGTCTTCCATTTTTCCCAGCTCTTCAAACCATTGCACATGGGAGGAACTCAGAAGACGGGCACGCTGGGAACCAAAGAGCCTGGGCTCTGGTGCCAGGGCTGCCACCTCTACATTGTTATCCCGGGCAAGTCCTTTGATTTATCCCAGGCCTCAGTTTCTTCATGTCTACTAGAAGAATAACAATACCTTTTTTGGGATTGTGAGAAAGGAGTACGATAATTTAAGCGAAAGTGTTTTGTGAAGTCTGGTAGACTGGGTGGAGTAATGAATAGAAATTTATTTTCTCACAGTTCTGGAGGCTGGAAATCCAAGATGAGGGTGCAAGCATGGTTGGTTTCTGGTAAGACTCTCCTCTTGA